TAAATTTTACAACACAGGAGGATCTGAGGCGATCGTGCAAATGTCAAACTTCGATGTAAATGAGTTTGAAAAACTTTGGCTTCTCTTGCAAGACCACGTCACAACCAACTGGAATGTGGGGCGAGGACGAAAGTCACAGTTTAGTGGCAAGGATGTTTTGTTGTTCACTTTGACAGCACTTAAACACGGTGGGCAATGGGACTACTTGGGAAGGCTGTTTGGTGTGAGTGGTCCTACGTTTGAGCGCACGGTTATGAAGTTTATTAATGTAGTTTTCGAAGAACTATATGAGACTTTAGTGCTTAACCTGGGGGAGTCTTGGACAATGACAAAGATGCTACAGACACAAAAGACGTTTAAGACATTTAAGTTTTGTCGTTATGCTACAGATGTTACTTTTCAGCAAGCTTTCAGACCAAGTGGATCAATGGAAGAGGGAAAGAAGTACTTTAGCGGAAAGCATAAGCTGTACGGTTATAAGGTGGAGGTCTCCGTGTTACCAAACGAACTGGCTATTGGATGCTCAGATCATTATCCGGGCTCCGTTGCTGACATCGACATTATGAGAAAAATGGAAGATTTTCACATTGATGCTATGGCCAAGAAGGAAGGCGAGCTGGACATTGCAGACGTTGGCATATTTTGTGAAAAGTATAATAATACCTGGGGACTATTGGCTGATAAGGGCTATCAGGGGTCAAGTGAGTTTTTGCGATCTGTCATACCAAGGCGCAAACCCTTGAACGGACACGTGACGTTAGAAGATGAGGCTCAAAACAAGAAGATTTCGTCAGATCGAATAATTGTGGAAAATTTCTTCGGGAGATTGTGCACAAACTGGAATATTTTATCAAGCAAATACAGGTGGGCTGAGAAAAGTTATGATAAGATTTTCCGCTTGTGTATCAGCCTGATAAATCTCCTTGTCAAGTGGCATCCGCTCCGTGCTGCTGATTTGGACCGTCACAATCAGGTTAAAAATAGGCAATACGCGATTGGGGAGGATACAGTACAGTAGAGGAGGCGTGCGCAGGAGAAATACCGTGCGAAGCGCCGCCTTCGTCTTGGGTTAGAGCTGTACACGGCCGACAGAGACAGTGATCGTTATGATTCTATCTTTGATTAATATTTTGGTACATTTTTTGTAGTACTGTAATCATCAAGTCAAAATTGAGTACACACGTTGTCATCAAAAATGCAGAATAAATTTGAAATTTATCCAGCTATACGTAGCAATCTGGTGTTTTCGGTAACGACTCAATCTTTCAGCAATATGTCGTTAATTACGCACGAAGTCTGCATTTACAGAGTATATCTACTAGGCGGTTAGTAAAAGCATGATGATGGATGCCAAAAGTTGAAAAACATCCAACAGAAGTACTACTACCGACTGTCTCCGCACCGATGCACACACTAATTTACATGCCGCACTGCCACTATGTCTGCAGAAAGAAATCTTGGAAGCCTTCATTCATCAGGACCACTTGCCCCAAGCAAAGCGTATTGATGAGTCACATCAACAGCAGGAAGTTGCATCTCATGACCAAATCCTTTTCACAGCGTATTCTGGACGATTCGTAGGTAGGCTGTTCGCTGTAGAGTGACATCTCCACGTATTCTAGAAGCAGTCCTTATATTTTCTTCCGTCGGTCTTGTGATATTTGGACAAGTGTTTCTTCTTTTCCTTTTCTGCAGAGCACGTGCCGAGTGCATTATCCACTTCCACCTTGCGACCGCAGGCCATGCACATCACGTTCACCATGTTCGTGTGTAGTCGGAAGAGAAATATTGACGGAGGAGTCGGAACGGGCGAAACGGACAGGAATATCAGGACAGAAAGTCCTTCGACAGAATAGTGCGGGACTTCTCAACATGCTTTTGGTCTGGGCGAAGGGGCGGGAGGGGGGGGGGGGAGGAAGGGGAGAAGGGTCTAGTGGAAGAATATCTTAACCTTAAATACACTACTGGGTGCGGGACCAATGGAGCAAGCCCATGGTCA